GTAATGATTAACAATATAATGTGTTGACTAAGGAACTCACCATACATGCAGATGTGGAAACAGAGTATTCTTTTTCTTTCAAGATAGTTCCAGACTCTACCAGGATATTTAGACGATGCAAAGGGTAACGAAAGGCAACTGCAATTTCAAATTAAAAATATTATCCCTGTATGTATTAAAATTTAAATTATGGTTTAATACAATAATGTCCCATTGACTTTTTTATATCTGTTTGATTGCCGACTCCTTAAAGCCTTATTTATTTTAAAAATGCAAATATATAACATAGGCAACTAACAGGGAACAAGGGTAAAACGGTTGGAAGGTAAGTAGGAATGAAATATTTAGGTAATGACCCCTTAAAACCTTATTTAATTTAAAAATGCAAAGATACAAGACATGTAAATGACGGAGGTCAAGGATAAAAGGGTAGATAGGTAAGTAGGAACGTAATATTTAAGTTATAATCCCTTAAAATCTTATTTAATTTAAAAAAGCAAAAATACAAGACATGCAACTAACGAGGGACAATGATAAAAGAATAGGTAGGTAATAAGAATGAAATATTTAAGCAACGATCCCTTAAAACCCTATTTAATTCAAAGATGTAAATATACAACAAAGACAATTAACATGCAATAAGGATAAAACGGTTGGAAGGTAAGTAGGAATGAAATATTTAGGTAATGACCCCTTAAAACCTTATTTAATTTAAAAATGCAAAGATACAAGACATGTAAATGACGGAGGTCAAGGATAAAAGGGTAGATAGGTAAGTAGGAACGTAATATTTAAGTTATAATCCCTTAAAATCTTATTTAATTTAAAAAAGCAAAAATACAAGACATGCAACTAACGAGGGACAATGATAAAAGAATAGGTAGGTAATAAGAATGAAATATTTAAGCAACGATCCCTTAAAACCCTATTTAATTCAAAGATGTAAATATACAACAAAGACAATTAACAGGCAATAAGGATAAAACGGTTGGAAGGTAAGTAGGAATGAAATATTTAAGTATGATTAACAATATAATGTGTTAGCAAAGGAACTCACCATACATGCAGATGTGGAATCAGAGTATCCTTTTTCTTTCAAGATAATTCCAGTCTCTACCAGGATATTAAGACGATCTAAAAGGTAACGAAAAGCAAATGCAACTTCAAATTAAAATTATTTTCCCTGTATGTATTACAATTTAAATTCTACTTTACTACAATAATGTCTCATTGACTTTTTTATATCTGTTTAATTTCCGACTCCTTAAAGCCTTATTTATTTTAAAAATGCAAATATACAACTTAGGCAACTAACAGGGAAAAAGGGTAGAACAGTTGGAAGGTAAGTAGGAATGAAATATTTAAGTAATGACCCCTTGAAACCTCATTTAATTTAAAAATGCAAAGATACAAGACAGGCAACTAACGAGGGACAAGGATAAAGGGTAGGTGGGTACGTAAAAAGGAAATATTTAAGTAATTACTTTAAATCCTTATTTTTATGCGATTAATCTTTATATTAATTAGATGTCAAAAACTAGGACAATTTTAACTTTTTCAGGATGCATGTTTTATGTAACGATTGAAACTCTTGTTTTTCCAAATCTGATAGCATATAAGAACTTATTAGGATAAATTATGGATGTTTATTTCGATATTACATATACATTTGTACACTGAAGTAGGAAGTTCTTACGGTACATTTTATACCTATAAAAAATTAAGTACCTAATTATCCATAGGTATTAGCTTATAACACACCGATGTCTTGATCTTGAAACTTGTTGTTGTTGATGCTATTCAACTTTTGGATCTATTAGAGACTCCAATTGGTGTAACTGCTATACTCATATAACACAGCAAAATTATAGGTATAAGTATTTGTTATTTGCTCAGAATTCCAAGACAAATATTGACAATTGTTACAAAAGCGTGCGAGCCAGTATAATTTATTATTGAGGATTAAATGGACCTGTAATATGTATACTGGGTAGTTTTGCTTTACTCATATATTAATTTGTATAAAAATGTACCTCTTATTTCCTGTAGCATCAAACTGGTGATTAAAAATGACTGTTCACTCAGTCGTTCCACAATATCGAAATGGTCAACTCCATCAACTACTACCAGTCTCGTTTCATATTCCAATTTCTTGAGTTTTTCATGATATAATTTACTCTGTTTATGGAACTCGCTGCTTTCATATTCTCCGACGAGTACGAAGAATTTAACATTCTCTCCCCATGCAATTCCGTGTTGTAGAGGGCTTAACTTCATTGCTGCTTCACTGTCCAATTTTAGTGGAATGTTAATGTATGTACCAACTAATGGTACTAAATTGTAGATGCCGCTGAACAAGAAAACCGTTTTCACTATACGCTCGTGTTGTTCAATGTGTTCGGAAATGTTCATGAATAAACTAGATACCAAATGAGCCCCGGCGGAATGACCTGCAAGAGAAACGCCCCTAAAAAGAAAATGATACTCAATACTCAAAATAAGACACAGAAGACCATAATTATTATATTTATTTAAACCATTGATTAAGATAATAAGTTAAAGACCAGAAATTTTATTAGGAGAACAGAAGTGTCGAAGAAATTCGGTTCGGAAACATGAGTCAAAAAAGCAAACTACAAGAGACGGAAATGAAATATCTTAGAGGTGTACAATGAATAACATGACTAGACAGAATAAGAAACATGAACATCCGGTAAGAAATTGGAATTTATCCAATACAAAACATTATAGAGCAAAATCAGCTGAGGTGGTTCAGATACTCGAGCAGAAAGAATGAAGAGAGACAAGTAACACAGGTATGGGAAACTGGGAAAAAGGAAAAACAAAAGTAGACCAAGGAGCACATGGACAAAAGAAGCGGGGAAGATCTTGGAGAAGAGTGATATGACGTTACATCGGGGGAAGGGGATGACATAGAATAAGAAGAAATGGAGAAATCTAATCAATGTCATTATTTATTTGGTATATATATCATCGATAATTATTTTGACTTGATCGGCCATTCAGTCAATACTTACACAGACTTATTGGTAACTGCATATTCCAGACATTTGTCGAAACCTTTTCTTATCTCTTTAATCAATTCTGGTAAAGTTACATTAGGACATAAATCATATCCTAAAATAATCACTTTAATCCCATTTTTATGAAATGGTTTCACTAGATAACTTGAAATATTTCTGCTCAGTTCTTGCCAGAATCCACCGTGTACATAAATTAATATAGGCGCCTCTAAAAAATGAAATAGGTATTCAATATTTTAGTTGTTTTATTGACTAATTGGCAAATAAGATTATAGGTCTACCTTTAGGCAAATCTGTCCCGAAGATGTCGTATTTTTCCCCCAAAGAATTGCCATAGGCTACATTTAGTTCGCATTGGATTTCGTTTTTATTGTTCTCACTCTCTACAAATGACAAAATCATATTTGCAGAATTAATATTTTATCTGGGCTAATCTCAGTTCTGCCTGACCCATTGGTTCCCGCCAAATATTACAACCTTTTTAGCCTCTTGGTGAATTTGAATTCACGATTAAATATTATAATGTTTCTGTAAAGAGCGTAAAATTCAAACGTTCAGTCCAAAAAGAAAGTTGATTTTGAATTATCCATTATTTTGGCTCGCAGGAAGGTATTGCCTAATACAACTATAAATATATCGGACAGACTACGAAGCGAGTAACCATGTATAGTAAAAATGACTCAATACAATTACTAATGTCATCCGTACAATATTATGAAACTAATGTTTTTATTATTTATTTACTTTTCTTATGTTTAAGTAGTTTCGAAGGAAAATATTATATTTCATAGTCTCTTAAATCGAGAAAATCAAAAATATAAAGGATTTGTCAACAAAATAAGAAACACTAATCTTACAGGAAAAAAACATACAATTGTATTCTATATTACTTCAATGTAATTTATATAAAACTATTTAAAAGGTCGACGTAAGAAATATTACTTTATTCTTCATTTTTTTGGTATAAAAATAAAATTCTGACTTACCTTTAGTGGCAAACTCGACATGGCGTTTTATAATTTCGTCGGCACCACATCTTTTGGACCATCTACTTGGGGAATATTGATATTCCAGTTTTGCAACATTATCCTCCATGGTTCTATAATTTCCATGGGCATTTAAGCTTGCATCTACTTATCAAAAAACGTAAAAAGTAGGATATTTACGTAATACGTATCGAAATAAAAGTATTACGTTAAAACACTTGTGCAAATATTGCCTGTGATCTAATTTTGTGGTATTAAGAAAACGTATTGATTACGAAAATTAGTAACTGCTTACTGGAGTGAAAAATCTGTTAGGTAATACAGAAACAGTGAAAAGACTACAAAACCTTTGAAGCAGATAAGGTTACAATGTTATCGATTAGCATTTGTATGGATCATCTTACACGAAACCGTGGTGTACCTACAGTTCTATTAAAAAAAATTGAACGTTTTGTAGTAAAATTATACGTTAAGGTTTTTATGAAGATTATTTATAAGGATTTTGTAAATTAAAACGAAAAACATTAATTAAGCCATTTCTATTCTGCCATGGTCCAATTTTTTCTATGGTTTCCCTGGATCACTTAAGCAAATGCTGGGGCAGTAAAATTCCCGAGATAATCCTTCATTATCTTCTGTCTTCATTTCATCCATCTAATTTTTCTCACCAGAACTACCACCCACCCATTCCCACTATTTCTGAAAGAAGGCTGAAGAGAGTCTTCATGCCCTACATTTCAGAGTAGTCCGGAGGGACTGCCCGCCGACCAGCATTACTGGCTGATTGGAGTGAAACACCCAATTGGTGCTTTTAGGTTTTCTTTCCAAGCTGCTGGAATGCCTGAGTCAGTACTGTGGGAAGAATCTAATTCTAGCTATTATTTTGATGAGATGTAATTAGTGGCGTTTTGTTAAGATTCACCATTTTGGAAGAAAAAGTATATCTCAAAAATAAATGGAGGCACAGAACTACGCTTTTACGTAAATTGTTACAACATAATGTTCTTAAAATAACAACCGACATCGACCAATTGGCAACAACTTTCGTCGCCAGTAGGTGAACTGCTGATGTCTTGGTTCGGGTCTAAAGGTCGCCTCCATTTCCGATGCTAGATGTGGACTGAGTCCAATCGGAAATGGAAGGATCTCTGAAGCTTCTTCCAAGCGCGTCAAGCGGAACGTTAGGAAGCAACTCTAACCGACGATGGCCTTTGAACCCGAATTTGGACAGCATCAACTATAGAAAAACTCGGACCATGGCATATGCACCCGGAATCGAACCGGCGTCCTCCCGAATGCTAAGCAGTGGTCTAAAACTCTAGGCCATGCCCCTCGGTGAAAGCAACAGCCGCTGACATGGTATATGGTAAGTCAATACGTTTATACCGGACGAATTTATATCTCTGTCCAGTCTACAGGCCTATATAGTAGTCCATCGTTACGGCCTGTATTTGGCACATGACATAGACACACTATAAAGATTCTATACAGTAGATTCACTCCTGCCTGGATGAAGCAGCGACAGAGGAGGAACGTATGGGTGTGACTGGCAAGTAAACTTACTGTATAGAATCTTTAAACTGTGACATGGGGACAGGAAGACATTCATCCAGAAGTACTTCCTCTAGGTCCTAAATAGGCTATAATTCTCATTTTCAGATGTCAATAAAATCTAAACATTAATCGCTTTCAGTTTTTGATTGATTAGTAGATACCTATTTCCAATGATAAATGCACATATAAATATACGTGGTGGACAAATGCTCCTATCAGTAATTCTCCATGATGAAGCTCTTTTCTTTAAAACTACATTTTTCCTTTTTTAATTTTGCTCACATGATCAACATAGGAGAAAAGTAAAGTAAAGCAAAGTAAATACAAACACAAACCTGTGGATGCAATAGTTCTTCCAATTATCAAATAAAGTAAAAAACAGAGGAGGGGAGGGAATCTGTATTGAAATCTTTGTCCAGCAATGGATGCCTTTCGGCTGATGTGATGCTGATGATGTTAATAAGTCTAAGCGGTTGTAATAACAATTCGGGGACATTTGACAAAACAAGAATTCATAGAATCGTGTCTAAAAGAAGAAGAATATAAAAAAAATATGAATTAATAACCGAAATGATTAATGTTTGAGTAAAACATGTTTAATCACGATCGTTACAAGTTGGATATGACTGATTGCCTGACAATAAAAGTGGATGGGCTTTGGGATTATCTTCATCCTAGTCAATGAGAATTATAGCGATGTTCTGGCAAGTTTCACCAAATTGGAAGAAAATAATTGGACGCACAGAGCTATGTTCATCTCAAATAGTTGCGAAATTAATGTGCCTACTTTATAATATTGAAAAATGTACAGTACCATAACTGATCTTAGAAACATTAAAACGTTAGAACCATATTCGCTTTGCAATTTTAATGTCTACAATTTTACTGGACTCATACACGGTGTATGCTCCATTTGATTTTATAAATTCACGATTAACCTTCATTTCATGGATCTAAAATTCTTAAAGGTTGTTTTAAAAGTACCATATAAATATACTTCGTTTACTTTTTGTAGCGATGTGACCTTCAGTTTGACCGGCGAAAAGTAGAAAAGAACAGCACTAGGCCAGAAAAGGAAGGAGACAACTCTAGGCCAAACTCTTAACCGGCGAGGAGCGTATAATCCGTACAGTACTGCACGGAAAAATTGACCATTTTATCCACTACAATTGCATTGCTCAAATGTGATGTTATTGGTACCATTTACTACTGAAAATATCAACGAGATGTTCATTTATATTTGAAGACATATTAAAGGCTTTAACGCTTGTTTTCGACTCGCACTACTATTCATGATTGAACAAAACTTTTGGCAGATACTGTATGAAAAAGTGTGTTTAATGAACAAGAGTCGAAAGTATAATGAGCTTTTTTCTCCCTACCTATGATTTTGCCAGCGCGCATCAAGGACATTGAAAGGGGCCTATCGCTAAAGAAAGTAAATGAAGTATACGTAGGTATATCTCCAATCAAAAACTTTTGACGGTTACTACAACAACTACAAAAACATTGACATCGAAAAATTAGTTACCAATAATGGTAACTAATGAAACGTTTTGAGACGGGAAAACTTATTTTTACTACAAAAAAAGATTAAGATGGGTCATAATAAACAATATATCAACATCGATAATAAGTTAGCAGTTATTAGTACCTACCCCATCCCTAGGCCGACTACTGGAGGCACATGCTGATTAGGTCTACAAACTTGAACATGCAATGTTAGTACAGGACGACAGAAAAATAACAAGTAAAATGTTTAAGATAAATGTATTTGAAAACACAATACTTAGTATAATATTATAGAGTAGATTATAATCAGTTAGTTGTATCACAGAATGAAATAATTATAGAGACGATACATTATTTACATACACATCATTCACATGATACCAAAGTGACGAAAAAGAAACATTTCACAATAACAATTGCTTGGTATTATTTCTTGTACTTACTTGTTTCTATAAACTACATTTTTAATCAATAAAGTAGGTATGTATACCATACATAATATTTCGTTCTTAAATTACGTACAACACATTGTTCAATTTTGAAAATAGTTTGTTTAGAGAAATTCGTGGTTAAATAACAATAAGTATTGTTCGGTATAGTACAAAGTATGAACCCGTTTCTTTCCGATTCTAATAACACAGTAATTGTTCATGTGAGATCAGAAATTGATAATAAATTATAATAAATCAAGTATTCATTATTATGTACTCCATGAAGCGATTTGTAATATAAAAAGTTCGTGGTACCTATGAGCAACGATAATAATAAATGACTTTTTAATATCCTTATAAGTTTTTAAATACGTACAGTAAACCCTTACAAAAGCAGCCAGTTATAACGCCTACTGGTTATCTTTTCAGCTTCAAAAATACTTATACTCCGTTAACTTTAAGATGGTCAAACCAAAACGAAAGTTATTTTATCTTATTAACCTTCGCTATCGGAGGAATTACATGACGAAACACGAATACCTACTCGTGACTTTCGCAACAGCTGGTACACAGACAAGTCAATTGCACGCGTGATGGTTAGTAGTAATTTTTGGTATTCTTTTTTCCATCTGTACCAGCAAAAAAACGTAATAAAAGTGATTAAAGACACATTAGAATCTAATAATATAAATAATGCACGGCTATTATTGATGAAATTATTTCTAAATTAACTTTTTGTTTAGATTGAATGGTAACTTTAGGAAACAATATAGTTGAATCGAATAAAGCAAGCAAGTACTTGAATTTTTTATGTAAATAATGAATATGCACTTATATTCCACAGTTAATTAATGGATTTCAAATACAATATATATTAACTAAAATTTCCTTCTTTAGTTTTTAAATACGCCAATGTTCATTCACATGCGCGATTGTTTTTATATTCAGTCAATCCTGAAAGTGAACGGAGTATACGTAATAATTAGTCTCTGACTGACTCTTAGGATGATAATTTATTCGTTGCACTTCAATAAATCTCGATAAACTCACCAAACCAAAGAAGCTCCTAAAGAACGAGTTGATGTTATATCTACTTAGATACAGACAGTTTATAGTCATCTAATGAATAAACACCAGTAGCAGAAAATACCCACCAGATGGCGATACATTGCCTGTATGTGGATATTAAATGAACTATTTCTAGTTGGTTGGACTTCTGCGAAGGATTGCAGCGCTCAGTTGCAAGTTTTGTTTTTTCTTTTAATAAATGACATCTTCAGTTCATTCATAAAAATGTCACCTGCATAGCAGAACTATCCAGAAACCCAACCTCATTCAACCAAAATTATTAAAAATAAAAAAGAGGTCAGTGTAGGTATTACAATTGAGAAAATCATAATCTGCTTTTGCATTTACTTTGCTGAGATCGATTTTTATTTAATCATGCGACTATTTTTATGTTTATAAAGATATTTAAAAACTCAATTCTACTTACCGTTGCTTTTTATATACCTACTAAGTTTATTTTAAGAAAGCTAATTACGACTATCGTCGATAAAGAAATGAGAATGTTACTATGTGACATTTTCATTCAATATACCTACTGGTCGTCATCATTGCCCACGCAAATGTCATAGAGTATTGTGAAAATGATTATATAAATGTTTTCCTTTTGTGGCAAGTAGCAATATAAATATATTTATTGATATATTCTTATGTTTACTTAGATTATTATTGTTATTAGTAAATATAGACAACTAGATGGGAATATTGTACATATACATACAATTTGATATTTGTAATTACGAGTATCAAAAAATCTAAAAAAAGTTACTGTTGAGTACAAAAATCTACCTTTGATTAAATTTTCAAAATGTAACTTTTGATTATTGTAACTGTATCATACTGTTTTATTTTAGTAGTTTTGCATTGTTTTGATTGGGTTATCGGTAGTGATAAATATATCTACACTTTTTCTCTTGATATCATGAGATTAGGTCAGAAGTTCAGTTAAATCTTACAATAACAATATGTGTTACCTATACAGGGTGTCCCATGCGATTTTTCGTTAGAAACGTATTATTATTGTGACATTATGAGCATTAGGTAAGTGAAAGTTTCATGAAGTTGCCGCATGTAGAAAAATCCGTTGTATTCTTGCTAGAGTCAAATTAGGAAGGCGAATCATGAAAAATTAACTGAAAAAAGGACAAAATTTATAGAGTTTTGTCCCGCATTAATAATGCGATATTAGAATATGTACGAAACTGTTAGAAGTAATTATTTATTTATTTATTCAAATTTAATTGTTCGTATTCACTCTTCGTAATTACAAGTATTTTCAGTTTGAAACGTTTAGTCAAAATATCTTTACTAAAAGTTACTTGTAGTCAAAATCCACCACAGAAAAGAAACAATTTCGTTTCAAACACCCTGTATAGGTGCGAATTTATCGATTTTACTATTTTTTGGCAATCTTTCTAATTTTCGTTTTTGTCAGTAGAAGTAACGCAACACGTTCTATCGTTAGCTATGACAGAATTAGTCACAATTATTGTTATATAGCTATCGAGAGTTAGAAGATTTAGATGATTAGTCAAATTATTATAAATTTTCCCATATCCAACCTTTTTCGTTGTATATTTTAAGTGATTAGTCAGTACTCCATCATTGAAATCTTACCTTTTCGAAAGAAATCCGCGGTACACTCAGTGACTAATTAATTCACAGCAGTTCTATTCGTTTTTGGAGTCAATTTACATTAACGATCATTGGACCTTAATAGTGACGTTTTCATGGATTGTTTGCTAGTCTTGAGATCTGCCCTTGGTGGGTGGTACGGGAGAGCTTGTAGCACTCCTTGATAGACGAGAGTGCATTTCCGGTGGCAGTAGTTGAGAATCAGCCGATTTCCACGATTTCGGAGTGTCGTTGCTGATATAGTTTCTCATAGGGTTGACACTTTGTTTGCTGAGAGAATGAATAGGAATGCGGTATATACGAAGGGGTTGTACGTCTAAGGGTACTGTAAGAGAAAAGCATACCTGAATCAATTCTAATACCAAAAAGCAACCTTTACAATAGATGCAGGGTGTAATATAAATAAATGCCGAGCTTGCTAGAGATGATAGAGCACTATAAAACATATAAATTAAGTAAATTTTTTGTGATCTGAAAATCCACCGTTTTCGAGAAAAACATATTTGAAAGTACTAGTCCGGTCCTGGTAAGATCACGCAGAGAAATGCGACATTCAATGCCGTATTCCATCAGCTGCAGCATCCGTATTGTACAAGTATTTATTTTGTATTTTGTGTTCTTAATACCATGCTGAATTGTGCTTTAAATATCGTAGTACTGCACACTATCAGTGATGAACAGTGTAGTTACCTGTTTAATTATTTGTTATCGCAATGGGTGTCTAGAGACTGTTATGTACAGGAGCATTGTAGTAAGCTGTTGATATTTACCTAATTAATCGTTCTACAACGTTTTAGACGCTGCCAATTGTAAAAGTTTGTTTGTCCGAAAGAAAAAACTAGTTGAAAGTAAAGTAATATAATTTTTCGGCCCTGGTGCAGGAATAAGACTCGCAACGCCGCACTCAATCAGCTGGCAATTACCTACCAGTATCAGTTGTATTTGTTTCGTATCTTTTATATATATATCATGTATTATTTATTTGTTAGATTATATTAAGTGTGTTTCAGGGTGTTTCTGTTAACAGCCAACCTCTAATAGCCGTTTATTCTTTTAACGTTTAAACCTTGAATGAGACACTCGGTGTGCAGTTCAATAAACTAATTTAACATATGCTTATCGGGCGCCTCAACATTTCAATAAACTAATTCAACATATTGTTATTGTTTGTTTATCTTAGACGTTCGATAATCGGCGATCAACTTCCACGTAGCTGCACCACGCTATTCTGTAGACACCTATGTTGCCAATTCACGCACAGGGTCGGCTTCGAATTGTAAATTTGTGATTCTCTTAAAAACAATTGCCCTTAACTACGCTGTGATTGTTTATTGTATCTAGTTTACACTTATTTCTGTTACACCTTGTATTTGCAGCGGGCAGCGATTCATTGTTACATGAATTATTATTCTATTCACTTCCCGTTTATCTTAGTCTATACATATAGAAAATTGCGGCACGAAATAAAAATAGCGGCACACGTGCCTTTTAAATACGTATGTCTTTTATTGTGTAGTCTGATATTAGATTTGTATCAGTAAAGGAGAACTGTGTTCAGTAAAAGCATTTGATTTTAATAGCTGATATTTACAAATCAATTTGGTAAAAGTAGATACATATATGACTGATATTTATATGTTGTACCCTAAACGTTGAATTTACGAAGCTTTCAAATATTGTGACTCCATAATAATAAAGAAAACACAAAATAAGGTACAAAATACTTATTGGACTATATGTGTAAAATATTTTGTAATTTTCATTACAACTGACGATTTAGTATCTTTTTTGAGATGTCTTTATTGTTCTTAATACATTTCTCTAATGAGTTACTTTTTTTAATGGAGATTATTAAATTAGTAAATAGTTTCCTGTTTTTATTGAAATGTTGAGTAAGAAAATAAATTAATGATAATTATTAGGAATTTTGTCAGCTACTTGAAGATAAGCCAAATTTAAAGTTCTTTTGTATTACTTATTATTAAAAAGCAAGTATTGTTAGTAATAACATGTTAGGTATTCTATTGAGTTCTTTAGAATAATCTTCTACGGGGGTAGGCACCGTTACAGTTTAGTACACAAAACAAGGCTAATTTATAAAACATAGGATGGAAAAATTTAGCATATGTTATCGTATTTGTATGCGAGTGTTATGAAATATTGAAAAAGAATATTTATTGTATTTATTTAGAATAATTAAGTAGAAAGAAATTTATAGAATTATTTTCTTCTACCTGTAACGTGAATTTGATTTTAATAAGTAAATGATAAATTGTCTATCTGTTTCATTAGAACAAACTAAAATGCCATCTACATACACTGCGTGTTTAAATGTACATTATGGTACAATAAATACTTTGTTATACTTCGTTTACTTTCCGTAGCGATGTGACCTTCAGTTTGACCGGCGCAAATAGAAAAGAACAGCACTAGGTCAGAAAAGGAAGGAGACATCTCTCGGCCAAACTCTTTACCGGTGAGGAGCGTATAATCCGTATAGTACTGCACGGAAAAATTGACCATTTTATCCACTAAAATTGCATTGCTCAAATGTGCTGTTATTGGTACCATTTACTACTGAAAATATCAACGAGATGTTTATTTATATTTGAAGACATATTAAAGGCTTTAACGCTTGTTTTCGACTCGCACTACTATTCATGATTGAACAAAACTTTTGGCAGATACCGTATGAAAAAGTGTATATAGTATATTTTTTTAATTATCCTATATAGTAATTTTCTGATCATCCGCTATATTTAATTTTTGGACACGTGTACATACTTATATATATATAACTGTTATCGTTTAAGAAAATAAATCACGACAGTGAAAATTCCTTTTATATATTCCCGGTAGGATCTCAAATAGGTAATTGATGAATATTTAACTTTAAATAGAGTTATGAAAGCCGACTTTGCAAATTTCCACAAATTATTAAAATCTCGATGCTTTACATCACACTCTAAATGAAACGCTAAGCGCAAATTGCCGATACTTGTACCAGATGCCGACTTACGTAACTTTACTTTCGTCGCCTAGGATTAATGTGCCTAACGATAGGTACTTAATATTGTTTGAAAAGAGGCAAAGTTCTGAGTATTTCAACTTAATTAATTCAAACAATTATTAAGTCGTTTCTCAATAAACGATGAGAGACATTACACCTTGCTTCAATTTCCCAAAAACTCAAAATTATGACATCAACAAAGACCTAACCGCTTTTCCAAAAAAATTTACTAGATGATGCCTTAATATACATATAACATATTGATTTAATATAACTTTTTATCCAACTGGTACCATTTTATTTGTAAAATGTTAACGCTTTTCGAATCTGGAGGTAGAGGTAGTTTAGAATCTCATGGGCCACGAGCTTCTGTTGCGCAGTGACAAAACTCTACCTGTTCACTGAATTCTACTTCCCACTAAAACCATTCGCCGTCTGAATCTCGCACGTTTGGCGGTTCAGGACATTCTAAAATATCTCTACTAATGGATGTTCCCACTTAGAAGTTGCAAAATAACCCGCGATTGACTTGAAGATGACTTACGGCTTAATATAGTCCTTGTGACCTACACAACTTTTACTGAATTTGTTTTTTTCACCACATGGATAGGTCGCAAGAAAGAAAATCCAGATTATTTTGAAACGCAGAGTATTTCAAGGAAGCAGGTAAAATCCAGCTAAAAAGTTTTAGCTTTATCCTATCATTGCTCAGAATTTTGTAGTAATTTCAACCGCTATAACACTTAACTATCTCCTGAACAGGCATACGCATACAACAGCCTCAATAAAAATTTTTGACTTTTTTGGGTTAAGTTAGGATAATTTTAGACTGGACTAGGTTAGGTTGCGCATCCTGCTAATTACTAGGGGCGTATTAAGTACCCACTCCCCCAAATAATATACACCATGGGTATTATAAATAAATAATTAAATAAACTTACGATTATTAGGACTGGCTGGGGGTGAATAGTATTTCTCGGTGTGCTTATTATCCACTGGGAGCCTCTCTTTGTTGCTAAAGAATTCGGGGGCCGTTGTTGCAAAGAATATATCATTCTTTGAAGCGAGAAGTTTTAGTTTAGGCATTGTCATTGTATGAACGAGATTTCCGTTCACTATCAGTCGAATTTCCATTGTGTTTGATGTGAATGCGATAAGGTATGGAAATGCACACACTAAAATAGAAAAATTTATATTTTATTTGCAGTATGCACGAAATTGGTGAAAACGATCATTAGGTATTGTCACGCGCTGGTGCAATTGGGTCATACCCATTACGAAAAACTGGTACGATTTCTTTTAATATTTTCGAAGGAAATTCTTATAAAAAACTGATTAACTGTTTGTAACCAGATAATACGCCACATTTTAAAAAGGTTACTTTAATGCATGCGATACAAGAGAAAGAAGTGATTTCTGGCTACGATTCGAACTCAGACCATTGTCACAAATTTAATGAAAAGTTTGATTTTTGGAAATGGCTAAACCTACAACAGACTTATTACCACTACGTTGAAAGCTCACTGTTTTATTCTTCTATTTAAATAAATTCCGTCCAAATTGGGAAATTTGCAGAAGCACGGAGGAATAGTACTCTACATTTTACAATTAAGCTGTCAAATGTTGAATAGAGACTAGTATAGCGTTCGACAAGCGGGCACGTCGTCTAATCGTCACAATTTTCAATTCTTGAAAATGGCCCAGTGGTATCGACGATTGACTATCATGCAGATGGGTCTGGCCTCTATACTCGGTCGATGCTATAGTTTTTTTTTTTAATTTATGTTCAATGTTGAATTTTTTTCATCATCTTTTTTAATATTAATATTAAATGTATTGATTGCATAGGAGTGTTGTCGTTTTAATGTCTTCTATTTTTTGTCGTCACTAGTGGCTCATGCTATAAACATATTGTGGCATTGAAATATATGCGGAAATTTTCGAATTTTGACCTAAAGAAAGGAAAAACAGAGCATCGCTTGCGTAAACAATGAAAATGTTGATGGATATTCAACGTATGGCGGATATTTTTCCTGATTATATGACTTCAGTCACAACATTCATTTTCATATAAGTAGGTACATAATATCAAGTTATGATAGTCGCCATCTACTTATACAAATTTCCTGTTTAATCACTCTTATCAAAAGTTTAGTTTGCAAAATTCTGTTGTCTGTTTAACACTCCATACAAAGTAAAAACTACTACGAAATAAAATGCTTGGTCTGCCGAGTTTTGATGCCGAGAGTCGACACGTACTAATTTGTTTTTATCAACAATGAACTGAAAAGATAAAGTGGAAACCGAAAAGCGTTGTCGCGTGCGTTTAATTGTTGATAGTATCAATATAGAAAAACTAAGACTTGATCACGCAAAACTCCAATCATTTACAGAAATGTAGCTTATCGCTTAATTTTTTCTGGTTTGTATCTTCAATAGACAGTGCTAATCATGATTTTAGGTGTTCCAATTCTATCTATCCAAAAATTTATGATAATCTTTTACGTCGCAAACATGAGGTCATTATTTAACGTATTTTAATACTTGACGATCCTTGAATATTTTGTTAATAACGCAAATAATTAGTAATTCGAAAAAGATCGTTAAAGGTGTATGTTTGGAGCGCGGCGCTGTACGGGTGCGAAACATGGACAGTGGGCGCTGCGGAAAAGAAAAGGTTAGAAGCGTTCGAAATGTGGTGTTACAGGCGAATGATGATGATACCGTAGATAGAGAAGGTTAGAAATGAAGAGATATTAGAAAGGATAGAAGAACAGAGGACTCTATGGAAGTCAATAAGAAATAGCCGAGATAGGTTGGTAGGACACCTTCTCAGGAATGAAGGTCTGGTCAGAGACACAGTAGAGGCAGAAACGGAAGTTAGGAGGGGTTAAGGTAGACCCAGATTAGATTACTGTTCGCAAATAGTTAAGGATGTGGGTTGTTATAGTTTTAGGGAAATGCGAAGATTAGCTCAGGATAGAAAAGAGTGGGGGTGTGTGTCCAACCAGTCTTAAGACTGACGACCTCATGATGATGAACGTAAATAAGTCGTACAAAAACAATAAAAAATGAGGGAATTATTTAAAATGGTCAAAATTGTATTCGTACTTATACCAATTCTAAAATATGTGAAAAACTATGATACTTTATTCTTACCTATATCGGTGGGTACAGAATTCCAGTGAAAGTCAAAATCAGTTTGTTGTTGGGAGTTCTCTTCGTTTAGTTTTTGGAAATGGCATGTATCTGAAAAGTAATTAACGTCCATGTCAAGCAAAGTTTGTTGTCTAGAGTAATTAAATACGGTGGCACAAGTGCATAAACATTTATAAGGGATGCACAAAGTAGAGCGTAAATGATTGATTAAATTGATCTTTAAAAACATTTTAGCAAAGCCCACGAGTTAGTTTGAAGGCTCTAAATATACATTTGGTGTACTCATCATCGGACGAAACCAAAGATTGACGAAACAATTGTCATTAACTATTAAAATCAATAAAGTATATTTTGAAAATGTGGAGGTTCTTTTCCTTATTTTTCATCATGGACATACATTAAATAAGTCGATCATCTTATAGATTAAAGGAATTATAGAATTGCACAGTTACTGCAGGATACCTGGCAAAATCAATATCCGATGCATCTCTACTTTGGCCATTAAAGGTAGTAGAAGCTTTAATTTAATTTAATAAATTTAACTGAAGAGAGCCAAAAAAATTCTAAACTTTGTGGAAATGGATAATTTAAAATATTCGATCGATACTGTTTTCCGGGCTCAATGTCATGGTCCATGAAATTTTGAAGTTCCAAAATGATATCAGCACCTGCCAAATCACCACTTATCCTACCTCTAGCAAGTGACTACGAAATTCTAACAATTACGACAAAACAGCCCGCAAACGAATCTCAAATTGATATACGCTGGCTGTGTATAACTGAAAACTACAAGATATTGCGGCGTGCTACTAAATGCGTATAATCCAAAATTCTTAAAATAGGATTTGAAAACCTTCACTTATTAGATGAACCCAAAGCTAAAGAAACTATGGATCCCATTTCTTTCTCTTATTACAATGTGTAAAAGATCGAAAACAGAATGGGGTTGTAAATATTTTAGTATAGAATAACTGATGTTGATTTTACATCAATAAAATTATTTGCAACCCTATTTTCGTTCTGATCTTTCACGCTAAACGAACTATTACGACACCAGTGTTTTTTTTCGAATTAAAACGAGTGGCAAGGCAAATAAGGAAGCATATAGAAGAATTATTGGTTGCTGAACTGAATGACTCTTACACATACACCAGAAAATCCTAAAAGGGAAATACTAAAAATAGTTCAAAAATACTTGAAGTACTCCATGTGTAACAATTTGAAGTTTCCGAAATGAACTTGAAACAATAAGAATGCAGCTAATTACCCACTTATCAATTGAAATTGATAATTCCAATAGTAATCAAAACTAAAAATACTTAATTGATACTTGTTACTTAAAGTAGTGTAACAGTTGTGTTTCTCTATTAACGAAAACCGACGAGCTTTATATAATTATGAACCTTGATTTTTAGTGGAAAACTGACAAAGGTACCTTCAATTTTCTACTTTAATAGTTTCATTACTGATACACTACCTTTATATTTATATAGAGTTGACTTACGATTGTAACAAAGAAGTAATTGCAATTCTTGGTCCTCGTATAGATCTAAGGCGGCCACTAAATTGGTTTTGACCCCTTCGACGGTGTGAAGATGCTGGACACTACCAGTTTTCCCGCTCACAAGGTCCCAGTGGTTCTTGTAGCCTATGCATAATATTACGTCACCGTGGGACGGGGAATGTGGTGTCCAAGTGGCATCAACAATTGACATAATATTCGGTACTTCACCGACCATCACCTCCTGCATTAAAATATCAAATAACGAAATCATACATTTGCTAAAATCTAAAACTTCTAATGTGGTCATCATCAACGCTAGTTTCCCAAGTTCGCAAGTTCAAAGTTTAATACTTTTCTACACTATTATCACTTCTCAAAGCTAAGTATATACCTTCCTTTTCCATATAATTTCTCACGGAAAAAACTTTAAAAAGTACCTATTTGACACTGTAATCAAAAACCACTGACACCGTATGAGATTCTACGTACTTTTCTACATTAGCATCAGTTCTGAAAGTTTATTATTTACCTTCCTTCTCTAAAGTATTTCACAATTACTTTATATACTTATATCAGTAAACACAACGTTGGAAAGTACTTATTTGACACTGTAATCAAAAACCGCTGGCACCATGAGATTCTACGTATTTTTCTACATTAGTATCACTTTTCAAAGCTTAGTAAATGCCTTCCTTCTCTAAATAATTTCGCAATGATTTTATATATTTTAGCAAAAACAACTTTGGTAAGTACCCATTTGACATTGCACTCGAAAATCGCTAGCAACTAATAAGATTCTACGCACTTTTCTACACTAGTACCACTTTTCAAAGTGTAGACTATATTTCAGCAAAAATAACTTTGGAAAGTTCCTTCTTGACACTGTAATAAAAAACCGCTGACACCATGAGATTCTACGTACTTTACCCTAGTATCACTTTTCAAAGAGTAGATATTACAGTAAAAATAACTTTGGAAAGTACCTTTTGAACACTGCAATCAAAAACCGCTGACACCTTGAGATTCTACGTACTTTTCTACATTAGTATCACTTTTCAATGCGTAGATATTACAGTAAAAATAACTTTGGAAAGTACCTTTTTGACACTGCAATCAAAAACCGCTGACACTTTGAGATTCTACGTACTTTTCTACATTAGTATCACTTTTCAATGCGTAGATATTACAGTACAAATAACTTTGGAAAGTACCTTTTGGACACTGCAATCAAAAACCGCGGACACCATGAGATTCTAGGAACTTTTCTACACTAGTATCACTTTTCAAAGCGTACATATTCCAGCATAAATAACTTTGGAAAGTACCTTTTGGACACTGCAATCAAAAACCGCGGACACCATGAGATTCTAGGAACTTTTCTACACTAGTATCACTTTTCAAAGCGTACATATTCCAGCATAAATAACTTTGGAAAGTACCTTTTGGACACTGCAATCAAAAACCGCGGACACCATGAGATTCTAGGAACTTTTCTACACTAGTATCACTTTTCAAAGCGTACATATTCCAGCATAAATAACTTTGGAAAGTACCTTTTTGACACTGCAATCAAAAACCGCTGACACCATGAGATTCTACGTATTTTCTATATTAGTATCACTTTTCAAAGCTTAGTAAATGCTTTGCTTCTCCAAATTTTCTCAAAATGATTTTATATATTTTAGCAAAAATAACTTTCGAAAATACTTATATGACACTGCGTATGAAAACCGCTGACACTTTGAGATTCTACATACTTTTCTACACATTATTTAACATTATTGTACTTTTGAATTGATTTGTTGACAGCAAACATTCACGCGGAATCAATTACCTTCTCGAAAAGAAAAAGTTGTCGTCTTTTCTTTTGTTTACAACTTGACATAGACAGACGGCATATATATCTTTCGCAAAAAACACCACGAGAGGGTAGTTGTCGCGAAGCTCGTGAAAAATGATATGTCAACGAACGGACGTTAAAATTGATAAGCGAGCCGCACTCACCCAAAGACATGAGAATCCATCAGCTGTGTGTGTGTCATTAGTGGGACACCATGCCGTCCATGCTGCCGAATGTTTCCACTGAAAAATCACCAATTTCCTGCCGATTGCGACACACATACGTAGCCGGGAACCACCTGCAATAAAATAATTATCGTTACGATCCATCAATGTCGTTTTCACTCAACGATACATCAAGACCTAAACGTGTAATGGATTTTAATTACTACTTGCAAACTTGGTCCGGAAAATTGGAAAGAAAAATAGGTAGTAAATACCTAGTTATCCGTAATGCCTGGTAGCGTTAATACTAAATATACTTGACACCAGCACAATTCGCTCTACCAGCACCAGGTACGAAATATACTATACGCTAGCAAATCAGCGCCAACAAGGGCCTATATAAGCAATCAAATGCAAAATATTCCCCGGTAATATATTAGACCCTAAAAGGAAGATTAGTAAAAGGATGTGTTCCAAAATATAACCCAGCATACCGGTTGCTGCTGACGACGTCATGAATTAACGCCATATTGTACTGGTGTGCCACCATATTCTACTGGTGAGACAAGTGTGACCTAGTAGTATACCAAACGGGCGTGTGAGCATCAGGATTTGTGGAATTTTTTATTGTAAGAAACTTTAATAACTTTTGGACCAACATTGCTGTAAACGAGCACAAACACTAACCTCAATGTGGCGTCAATTTGACATCAACGCACTGGCCAGTATATTTTAGAACGAATCAACAATATGGCGTCGATTTACGACGTCATCAGCACTGGCCAGTATGCTGAGTTATATTTCGGAACACATCCAAAAAAATTAATGAACATAAAACACAAAGAACAAAAGGTAAAACATCGGCCGGGAATCAACCACGCGCCTGCCTGCCTGTATGGTAGCCGACCATTCATACTACTGATCTACTGACGCTTGCTGAAAGTAGTTCCATAAAGGGGAATATCCGTATTCCCATTTATAGCTGACGTGCAGTAGAATTTCAGTAATTCTGATGCCCGACATTGCTCTCTTAGAATAAGTATTAGGTACCATAGATTATAGAATGTAGTGGAACTTTCAAGTATATTCTAAAACATTCCAGAATTTTCGAAAAATTTTGAAAATATGGAGCTTTAGAAAATCCAGAAAATTTCGAAAAGTTCCTTGGACGTTCAAGATCATTCTGTCATGAATAAATAAATGTTTAGTACCTATGTTACTGACCAAATCCAATTTCACAATAAACCAATTTTGCCTAGGCGAAGAGAGATAGGATGTATCAGTTTGACTAGTCACCGACAGGACACGATTTCAGCATGAAGCCAAGTCTGAATTCGTTAACAAAAATAGATGATAACGACAAAAAATGCCCATCTACACAAGAAAAAATCTAACGAGTGCAAGTGCCATAAGAAATACGTTATAAGAAAACGCTCTTACCCTTTTGATATCCTACTTACTTTATCTACAAATCGAGTATAATTCAAATCGGGCAACCTGAACTGATCACAACCTAACCAGTATAATATTAAAAAAAATCGGTTGTCTGTAAAGTCGGTTTACTGACGATAATTGAACGTGACAACGTCATAAGAAAATACTGATTTTAATTTTATTTGTTTGATAGATATTTTGTATGGATATAGAGAAGGAGGTAAATGGAAATGTATTATTGTGTCCACGCGGACGCATCGCTCACTCAAGTAGGAGAGAGACAGATGTCGAACGCTGCCGAACGCGGAGGCCGATTGTGCCTCTTTGTCGCTCGTTTCGCGCTCTCGCTTGTACTTCAAGCCTTAAATGGAACGCCTCAGAGCGAGGTAACGCCGCATGAGTTATGTTTTTTCGTGCATGCAGCCGGCTCCATCGAATTATAAGACGTTGTCACGTCAATAAAATAAATTGGTACAACACAAATAAATGATTTGACTATGGTTAGGTAGTTTAAAATTAAAAAAACTAGTTTGGTCTAGGCAAAAGTATTTTATACTGGTATTGGGTTTTTATGTATGAATTTCGACTTAGATCAGTACTATTAATTAATTTAAAATCTTATCTTATTTCCTTTGTAACTACTGTGTCCTCGTAAAGATACGATTTCTATCCAATCTTAAACGAAAATTCGAAAACAATCTAATCCATTTTTTAGTCGATTTATTTTTCTTTTGCTCTAGACTATAAAGTTGTATGAAGCTGGTTTATATTAAGGCGATATTTATTGGGTCAACGACGTTCAAATATCTGGAAGTTGATCATAGAATTGTCCGAAAAACGATTTAACCAAAAGCTAACGACTTCCAAGCGTTACCCTTTGTTTACACTACGGATTTCATTTCGACAGGGCAATGGAGAGAAAACAGCCAAACAAAGTTAGTTTTTATTACACCAAAGTCAAGGCGCGTTGAAAGGATAGGTAAATATGGGCCGGGTTGATAAGAAATTACTTTAGGCGATAAAGCAATAGGTCCATAAATAACGAGGGTCTAAGACAATAGATCTCCCGAAGCAATTAACAGTACCAATAAAAGCTACTTGATTAAGTGTGCATAATTTACTCTTCTATGTATAAAGCCTAACAAAGAGTAACAGCTTTTAGATTAAAAAAGAAAATTGGATAAGCCATCAGGCTATCATTTCTATTAAACGTTTAGTTACTTATCATATTTGAACTTTTATATTCATGTTAGACTATCGTTAAACATAAATGTTGTTCTACTATTTGATAACTTATTGAATGTTTAACAATTAAAATTGCACTTATTGCATACACCCTAGACAAAAATTTTCAGTCTCTCAGAGTCTTTCAGCGTCTCTGAGAGCGTCTCTCACAGTCTTTTAGTTATTGCCTAGGTGTTTTTAAGGATCTCTCACAGTCTCTGTATGAGAGACTCGAACGATAAAATTGTTAATTCAGAGATTCGAGTCTCTCACAAAGAGACTGAATGAATAAAACTGAAAAATTGAGCGACTCGAGTCTCTCGTAGAAAGACTGGGATCTCTGAATTATGTTGAACTTTGAAAATCTTAACCATGTCTACCGAGACACCACTTATTGAGAGATTCGAGTCTCTCGTTCAGAGATTCCAGTCTCTCGTTCAGAGACTAGATACGAAATGAGAATCCCTCCATAAGCGACTCGAGTCTTTCGTTCAGAGACGCTAAACAGTTTTTTTGACAGTCTCTCGACAGTCTCTTTCAGCGACACCAGAGAGACTCGATGGGAGACGGAGACTCGAGTTTCGCTTTCAGAGACTCTGAGAGACTGAACATTTTTATCTCGGGCAGGGGCAATTCAAAAAGTTCATTCCGCCACTATTTTAAAACGTCAGTTTCCAAAGAATTAAATTTAAAAGAAACAAATTCAAAGAGTCGATAAAAAATAAGAAACAAAAACAAATCGTCCTGCTCCAATAATAATTACATCGTTAGACTCCAATGTAAAACACTAGTTATGATAATCATCATCATCAGATCTTTAGCCTAAAGACTAATTGGACACCCACCTTGTGGTGTGATTGAATAAGAGATACATTTAGTATAAATTTTTAAAGCAATTACGTAAGTTAAATTCGAATATCATTTGCTGATTGCTTTGTAAATACATATAAGATCAGTAAATTCAAATTGTATTTTGAGACGTTCTTGTGTTATATATGAAAGACTTTTTAATATCCTATACAAGATTCTTACAATACTTTAAATCTTGTAAAGATATAGACGAACTTTTCCACTTAAACTAAGCACATTAAGTTCAACAAGTTCTTTTTGTTTTGAGTTGCAACCAGATTGCTAAAGTTTGAAGACATTATAAGAGCTCTCTATTGAACCATCATCAATTGACTTTTATTGGACTGTAGTCGATGCAGAAGTTTCCCAAAATTGTTCCGATTCGGTTTTTTGTGGGTTCTTATCAAGAAAGGTTCCTTATATAAACACACTCGGAGTTGTCTGACAGTAACCTGGTCGAGTTGCCTTTTATTGTTTAAAAAAAATATAAATTTTTTTTTTACTTCGGACATAGCTTTTTAGGTTTTTGGAAACTATTCTTTAAAATTTGCCATTTTCGAGTTATAAACGATTTCATGTTAAATAACATAAAAATAACGATTTTCAACACTCAAAAACAGGATTGAAGGTAGTTATTTTTGAGGTTGCCAATGACTTTCAGTAATTATTAAACTTCCCTTAACAAACTTTCGTTACAGAAAAATTGAATTACAATTCTGTCTTCTGGATTTTACTAACAAATGTCTTAAAACTCCCGGAACTTCTAAAATCACAATTTTTAACCCTGTCTTTGAGGGTTGAAAATTGTCATTTTTACATTTTTTTAAATTTTAAAGTCGTTTTGACATAACAAGAAAACGCCTCGTTGTAGAAAAAAAAATGACCCGAAAAACTTAAAAAAAGTTCATCTGCAATTTATTAAAAAAAAATGTTTAAAAACTTTTTGGACTCTTGCTGTCGCCCAGCAACCTATAGACTTGTTTATAGAGAACGTTTTTGACCAACAATAAACCCAAATCAGAATTTTTTTGCTTTTGCCTGGATTAGACCGAGAAGGTGTTATTCGAACAAAATAAGTTCTGCTGTATTTGACAAGATTTTCATTTATGGCACAAATATGTAAATGTTTGCAATATACGTACACATGTGTCAAATAAAATTGCTCATATTTTCTTGTGGCAGTAAAAGCACTACGCAGTACGTAAATAAAGTAGATTCATAAATCTATATTAAAAATGAAACTAGCTTTAATATCAATACTCCTTTATAAATATGGCAATAAGACTTCAAAATAACAGTATGTAATATAGTACGTAACGAACGCTGCGAGCTTCTTCCCAATATTAAATAACTTTTGCCGATTATATGATGGTAAGGCTAGAAAGTAGGTAATAATTAGGAAGTGTAAGGCAGTTAAGGAACAGTGAATTGATATGAGATGTAAAGAAGTAAAAGAAAAGTTTGAAGTAGGTAAAACCGATGAAGTGTATGATATAATTGAAAGGAATTTTAGAGATGTAGAGTACAGAAGTAATAATATGAGGAAAAGCCAGACAGGTTGAAAGAATATTTAGAGAACTTATACGCAGGCCATGAGTTAGGAGATATATTAGAGAAGGAGGATAGTGTAGAGATAAGTGAGCTAGGTTATCCAATAATGAGAGAAGAGTTCGATGTAGCATTAAAAAAACTTAAAGAATAATAAGGCGTCAGGTGTAGTTGGGATACATGGGGAAATTCTGAAACATGCAGGACAAGAGGTTAAAGATCGTATGTTTAAGCTAGTTAGTCACATTTACGAGACGGGGAAAGTCCCAGAGGATTATAAACGGAACGTGATAGTAACCATACCTTAAAAGGCAGGCGCGGATAGGTGCGAGACATTTAGACCAATCAGCTTAACCTCCCATTAGCAATTCCATTTAAATTGTGTTTTGAAAGCGGCAAAGTTCAGCCAACAGATAAAAGTAGTAAACTTTGACGACTTCTTTTATTATTCCGATATATTGATTTTCAAAACGATGCAAAATAAGATTTAGTGAAGTTCTGATAAGTTTCCGTTATAAAAATGAGGAACCAGATGCATAAGCGGATGTGAAAATGTATGCGGAACTTCCATAATTGCGGAAGCGGAAGCAGAAGTCTGTTGCAACACTACTGACCATTTACATTGTACCAAATCTGAACTAAATCGGTAAAGTCGTTTAAAAGAAGAAGAGTGTCAACCGAAAGCTCTGAATCGGGGAAGCATGGAACTTCGTTCGTCTTCAGCTCGCTTCGCCCCAATAACGTTGTGAAATCATATTTCGTAAAAGTTAAAAGTTCCAACAAATTTGTTTTTTGTTTAATAAAAGATAAAAGTGTTTGTGCTCACCTGGTCTCGAGATTGCGTACAAATGGGTCCCTTTGGTTTTCTCTAAACGATGGTCCTTCAAATCCAGACGAGCTTTGGGCTCAACTATTGCACTGAGATATGACAATCTGTACACATAGATTTTTCCTTCTTTTGTAGGGCCAATCCTCAAGAGCACGATACCGTGAGATTCCACTACGCTCATTTGTTTTACTTGAAGCGTTTTGTCAAACACCAAGCGATGAGAACTCCCATCTGAAACAAAGAAAGCCTTTAGCCTTTCATTTTTAAAGAGATTTAACTGTATTACTTTATAAATGAAGTTAGGTACCTATACATTACAATGTTATATTTCCTCCTGAAATCAGGGAAGAAAGTGAAAAATAAATTGGAAGACTTATAAGTCAATTTTTTATCTTTTGTAAACTTTAGGTAATGTTTCTCGCAATGTTGCTCTATTCTGAACAATAGCATCATATTAAATACGGCGAAAAATAAGGAAAAGTGGCTGATTTTAGGTATCTAGGAAGTCAGATAAGTCAGGACGGAAGCAGTTGTAGAGTTATAAAACAGAGCGTAGCGAAGGCTTGAGTCGCCTTCAATAAAAAGAAGTCACTTCTATGCTCGCGAACGGTTAATTTAGAAATTCGTAAAAGATTGTTAAAGGTGTATGTTTGGAGCGCGCCGCCGTACGGGTGCGAAATATAGACGGTGGGCGCTGCGAGAAAGAAAAGGTTAGAAGCGTTCGAAATGTGGTGTTACAGGCAAATGATGAGGATGCCGTGGATAGAGAAGGTTAGAAATGAAGAGGTATTGGAAAGAATAGGAGAACAGAGGACTCTATGGAAGTCAATAAATTAGGCGAGATAGGTTAGTAGGACACCTTCTCAGACATGAAGGTATGGTCAGAGACATATTAGAGGCAGAAACGGGAGTTAATAGAGGTAGAGGTAGACCTAGATTAGATTACTGTTCGCAAATAGTTAAGGATGTGGGTTATTTTAGTTTTAAGGAAATGCGAAGATTAGGCCAGGATAGGAAAGAGTGGAAGTGAGAGTCTAACCAGTCTTAGGATTGACGACCCTATGATGATGATGAACTGAAGCATCGGTCATTTAGGATTTTTCATTGCAATTTTATCACCACCCGTTAATCGCGGAAGCGCATTGTTCTACAACTACAAGACCTAGACAAGTTTGCTCATTGCTAAGGTCGGCGCATAGAGAGCTCATGGGTTTGTACGGTTTAACACTTCAAGGGAATGTAATTGCTCATTGTAACACATAAACCGCCACTGTAATACCTAAACATCGCTTGTTTTTAAACGCGTGGTACGTTTAAATTATCTCATTAACTGAATAATAATTTGTTCTTCGTTAATTTGAACTGCGGCTATCTTGGCTATTAAGATAACACTCGAGAAGCTTATTATTTTATACGGTGTTCCCATTTCGTCATCAGATTTTGGTTGGGCGAATGGGCCGCTCATGCACTGTCACTAAGATAACAAAGAGCATCGTTAAAGGGATGCATATACATGTATCTACGTGTCCTGCATTCCGTGATCCTGAATTATTTGCAGCTCTGGAGGGTAATGACCCACCGGTTAACTGGAGCGTAAAATAAAGAGAGAGATTAAATGGAAATGCATCTAATGGGTTTTGGTCTGAACGAGTCGTTAGGCGACCGCTGCCTCCTTTGATAAAGCTAACAGTTTTTTACGAGATAAACGTTTTCGGTTTTGAAATTTGCTATACGCTTAAGTAAACAATCTGATACAATTTTATTAGTCTTACCAATTCGAGATGATTAAACAGATTATAATGATGAAACCGCACTCTGATAATTCCAAAATTAAAAAGGAGCAACAAAATTGGTAATTTGCAAAACAAACAACAAGTTTTATTCCAAAGCCACTTATAAATATATATAAAATACAAAAATAATTAATCGCTCAGAACCAGCAAAACTAAGGTATTATTGGGAGAACAGAGGGAGTCAACAAGAAATAAGTGAAATAGGTTGGTATAGTTGGGACGTTCAAAACTGTCGCTTTCAACTTATACTTCGTTTACTTTCTGTAGCGATGTGACCTTCAGTTTGACCAGCGCAAAGTAGAAAAGAACAGCACTAGGCCAGAAAAGGAAGGAGACAACTCTCGGTCAAACTCTTAACCGGTGAGGGGCGTAAAATCCGTACAGTACTGCACGGAAAAATGGACCATTTTATCCACTACAATTGCATTGCTCAAATGTGCTGTTATTGGTACTACTGAAAATATCAACGAGATGTTTATTTATATTTGAAGAAATATTAAAGGCTTTAACTCTTGTTTTCGACTCGCACTACTATTCATGATTGAACAAAACTTTTGGCAGGTACTGTATGAAAAAGTATGTCTAATGAACAAGAGTTGAGAGTATAAGCTTTTTTTCTCCCTACCTATGATTTTGCGAGCGCGCATCCAAGATATTGGAAGGGGCACATCGCTAGAGAAAGTAAATGAAGTATACTAACTAGACTACAGCAGTTGCTGTAAGAACGCCTACTTTTACTCACGTCCTACGTTATAGGGAATATTGTAAACAAAGAAAAGAGATGTCAGGTAGAAACTGCAGCGGACACTAATAAAGAAAAAGGAATAACATTACACCAAAGAGAAGCAGACTAGTAAAATTTGAGCATGTTGCCAGTATCGGACTTTAAATAATGTTCAACATTCTCAGGAACTTTGTTTAAAGATATAATTCCAACCAGGTAGTTATAAAGCCGACCCTGATCTTTAGCGTACCTAATCGATCTCTAACCGCTGCATCGCTTGCTATTATTCGGTTATCTCTTTTCACATTTTGTGTACTACTCATGAAGCATTTCCTAACTTAACAAGGGCGTGTTCAAAACGTAGCAAATGGCTACAGTCCCAAGTGGAAACAACAAAGAAGATACATTCATTCTCATAGATAATTTGTTGAGGACTTTACCAGTTTTTATCGTCCCAAGTATAGGGCATTTTCTTAAACATGAAGGGCTACTTACAAACAAATTAGAAGTAGATGTGAAGATTGACTCAAGACAGACAGAAGTGGAAGTGCGTGTTCTGGCTGAAGACCTTATGTTGATGATGATGATAATGATGATGATATTCGACATAGAGCGTTAAATCTTTAACGAAAATTTTTATGACAAAAAAATTCCGAGGTACAAAAAAAGAAGAAAACCGTCATTAGAAAACGTTTCAATCTATCATCACCATAAATTTCCTTTAAAACATTAAGTACTTAAATGTTATATAATTTTTTTACTGGTCCTCTTATAGTCATGAGATAAGTCCGATAATTGATTTGGCAAGTAACTCTATTTCTTCCCATCCTGAAGCAATTTTCGCATTTCCCTAAGGATTCTCTTGTATTATAAACAACTTTTAGTATTTTCTGTATATGTACAAGGGTAGGCATTAGTGGTACTATAAACAATTAGCAACTTCTTACTTCGTTTTCGTTGTTTATTTCTGGTAATAATAATTATAAGCATATGTATACTTAAAAACCATAAAAAATTAAATAGCTTCCGAGAAAAACGATGTTGGCAGATATACGGAAAGATCAATGACTTTATTACCCGGGATTCTGATTGAAAATGAAAATAATTAGATATAGAAGGATGTGATTGTACATTGCTCGATGTCTATAAGTACATATTTCATACTAGCGACCCGCCCCAGCTTCGCACGGGTGCAATGCTGATACTAAATAAGTATATTTTTGTTTTGTTTAGATTATTATCGAGAAGGGGAAATCTTCAAAAGATACCCCCTGAACATACTAAATATACTACAGAATGTCTTTATATACAACATTCACAGTTTTTTTGTCATTAGACAATACAAACCGGCCTCCCGGCCGGTACCGCCGCAACCGCTATGTCCCTGCATTTTAAATCTGTAATATCTTCGAAAATATTCATTTAAATTACATGCTGTAAAGGGCCATATTGATCTATATTAAATGCACAATGTATTTAAGGTACTTAATTGGATAAGAATTAATGCTGTATTGCCTACAATCGCTTCGTAAATAAGTCATTATTTCTCATAAAAAGTAAAGGATAAAAATGGTTATTGTGGGTTATCCCTAAGAGATAGACATATACCATCCCGGACTTTTTTGTAGACCCTTTTAAGATGTACAATATTGTAGTACATTATTTTGATCTATCTCGTAGGGTTCAGCCAGCGTTTGCAATGTAAGCGCAAAAAATGTGTTTATTTACGACATCACATTAGAAACCTCTAAAATTATCAGTGTTTCCCTACTATATTATGCATGTATTATACATATAAACCTTCCTCTTGAATCACTCTATCTTTTAAAAAAAACCGCATCAAAATCCGTTGCGTAGTTTTAATGATTTAAGCATACATAGGGACAGACAGCGGGAAAGCGACTTTGTTTTATACCATTTAGTGATGTGCAAATCAGGCATAAGGATGAAACTAATGAAATTTCGTAAGGTTTAAGTGGTATATTAAATACTCATATCATCAGGGTTATACAAAAAATATAAATGAACTTTTAATAAATTGTAAGCACAGGGGGTCAGTCTACAAAACATTCTGATTACTTGTTTACTCCAAATAATACACAAAGTTATCTTTTAGTCCAGTAAAATAGTACGTATTAGGTTTAAATTATTTGGTAGCGATTTCACTATTTATTGAAGCACACAATTGGCTTTAGCTTATGACTTATTTTATGGAAGGACATTAAAGGATTCCGAAAAAATTAACAGAACAGTATGAATAAATAATGTACCTAGTCAGTAACAGGGTGATTAAGATTGCTACAAGGATAATAATAAGGATATTGAATTATACCAGTCTGTCGGTCGCTGTGTATTTTGTATGGGTGTGTTCTACGAAGGTTGTGATCTTTTAACAAAAACTCATTAGTGAACGGGTAGTTGCATACAGTGAAAAGGGTAGGGGGTTGTTATATGGCGAATGGGGATGAGCAAGATCATTGATTGATACGAAAGTATAAAGAGAAAACGAGAAGTAAATGGGAATTGGTTCATCAGGAATCTTCTGTCCGACTCCCAACTTAGTTTTCCTTTTACAAACGAATAAATACATTTATGAAAACTAAAAATTAGTTTTCCCAAAAATAATCGGAAAACTTGTTCCATCAATTGGCAAAAAGGGACCTAACAATAATAGCGCCTGTTTTGTTTTGTGTGCTAGGTCAGACATTTTACTT